TGTTTTTTTTCAAAAACTAAATAATATTCTTTTCTTTTTTACCCCACCAGCCACTTCTGTGGCAGCTGCTCCACAGGCAGCGCTGAGACCAAAGCCAGTGCACGCTTCATCAGCTCCGCCTGCGTAAACATCATTTGGATAAATGTATTTTACTGAAGTACTTTTGAATATTGGCATTGAGATAGGAAAAGTGCTTCAGGGCTATTTTTCTCCCTCGGGGTGTCTGCACTGTGACAGAAGAAAATTGCACTTGACTCAGTTGTTTTGCCTGAAAATACCGCTGTTATTTCTTTTATTTCTGTGAGAGTAAATCAACAGAACCTTCTTGTCTAGCTCCAGTCTTCACACTGCACAGTTTTACAATCCTGGGTTTTCACACCACCAAACACTTCAGGTGAAGTCAAGCTGTTTAACATTGTAATAAATGAACATAGAGACTTAGAAAGTCTTTATGTTTGTTGAGTTTTAAACATTAGCAACATTGGCCAGCAAATAAATAAGACAGTCAAGCCACACTAGAGCAGAAGGTTTGATTTTAGGTTCACCTTCTATGCCTTTAAACCATTGAAACGCCCAGAGATGAACATTAATGAATAAAACAAGAAGTGACAACCGCTGTTTTGGAAATTAGATTGCGCTTGTTTTCGGCTCTAACAAAGCTTAGCTAATGATGCAGCATCCAGCTGAGAGACCGCAGGACTGAGGGCAGTTTCTCTGCAGCATCACTTCATAATTGGCATAAATTTGGTTGGTGCTGCAGCTTTAACAACAAGGGAACGGCACACATGGTTGTTTTTCTCTATTCAGAAAAATAACCTTGATCAGGACACATCACATCACTTTAAGATGACTGGAATTATATGTTTACAATGGCCTTGATAGCCACTAGTGTACCCCTGAAATGCAAACCAACTGTTACAGCTACACTTCCAACTACTAGGGTTCTTACCATCATTAGTTCCCTCTGGAAGGATTTCCTGTCCTTGTTCTCACCATTCGTACACTCCTCCTTGAGTTTTTCCAGCACTGACGCAACCTTTTCTGGTTCATTGTCCAGTTCTGTCCGGCAAAAATAATCCAATGACACATTACCGAACCCAAGGGCTTCTGCAAACGCCCTCCAGTTTCCTACGTTCTCCATCAAAACAGTCCTCACAGTTGCGTAGATGTATGTGAGAAATTTGCAAGGCTTCAGGATTTGCTCCAACAGCATAGTGGTGGTCAGGTCTGGCCCACACCAATAAATGGGCTTGACTTTACCTAGGACCAAAACATTCTTGGCGTGAACAAGGCCCAGTTTTCCCTGGTAATATCCAATGTACCATTCCTTGGTCCTCAGCTGCCCTCGCAGTTTGATCTTCTCCTCGCTCAGCAGTGCAATAATGTCCCCTTTTTTGTACTCCAACAAATAGGTGCTTTTGTGCTGCCTGATCACCGTTTTGATCAACTTTCCAAATTTCAGGTTAGTTATGCAGCGGTCCTGAAACTTTGGGAACTTGGATGTGACAGCGAGAGGTGACAGGACAATCTTATCCACCTCCTTTTTTTTCAAGAACCTTCTCTGACCGGTAGTCCTTGAACCTGTTTTTGGAGGAGGCTGTGGTGTTTGGACACAGAACTGGGTGATAATGCAGTCGAGGGCGTCTTTGACTTGAACCCTGAGGGTAAAATCTGAGATGTTGTTGGGGGTGAGCGATGTTATCATGTACAACAGCCTGCTGACCTTACCCAGTTTAACCTGAAATCCCCGGATCATCCCAGCACCTTCGTTTACCTTTACCTGGTAGTTGGACATGTTGGAGTACAATCCCACCTGGAGGTCCTGAGGGTATCCCAGTAAAAACTGATGCTTCCCCCATAGCTGGAGGGCCACTGGTGGATTTGAAGTGACCTGTCGTCCCGCTTCACCTACCAGCAAGGTCTTAGGTGCGCAGTCATGCCCAAACATAGCTACGACTGTCTTGAAAGAAGGGTGGATGTGCTTGGGTCCATACACACCCAGAGTGACTTTTCTTTGCACATGATCCCAAACTGATGTGTTATGGCTGAGGTACCGTGACTGGACCACAACAGCCAAATACATGCAGGGCTCCAGGTTGTCCAACTGAACTTGGACTGTATCTTTATAGATGTAAGCATTAGGCATTGGCATGTAAGGGCCTTCTTTACAGTCACTACGAACACAGAGCAGTGCAGTATTAGTACAACTGTCTTTCTTCACTGTCACTGAAACCTTCATCTCCAGCGTGATGAAAGACTTTGTTTCCATGTTGCTAAGCTTAATCTCCACAATAGGGCTAACGGAGGAGCAGTGATCAGTGTTGAGTTCCAGTGGAGGGTCTAGTAGGGCTTTCAAGGAGATCTGCTGGTGGTCTCCCTGGCTAACATGACCCTCAGGAATGTGTACATTGATATTGGTGTCTGGAAGTTGAACAACTCCCCCATTAGTGTCCAACATGCACACAATGTTAGTCTCTATTGGCTGTGTCTGGCCCCACCCAGGACTTTGGCCCAAAGAGTGGAGGTCATGACAAGACCTAGCAAGCTTCCTGTGGTTTAACCAAGCAGCCCTAAAATCCTCCCTACTTTGAAACTGCTCTGGGGAGGGAGCCTTCAGACCTGTGAAAAATCCAGAAGACGGTAATGTTGGATTGGATTGTGCCTGAAGAACAGACAGTTCGGACAGACTGTGAGAACGTTTACTCCTGAAAAAGGGATTATCCCTGTGGAGGTTGGCTCCACACTGGTTTGGGCTGGTGGGGATGGTGCTGTTAACATGGCAGCTGCTGAAGCCACTGACTGTGCTGGTGTTAAAGGCGGAGAAAGAGGATGGCGATGCCACAGCGTCAAACAGATTAGGATCTGTTGAGTTCCTTAGTCCAATGTCTTTGAAGGTTTGTTGTGATGTGCAGCTAAAAGGGTTGTTGTTGTGAATCAGTGACGTCCTTCCTGTCCACTCTCCTAAACCCCCAAATTCCTTTGAGCCATCCTCGTACCCCTCTCCAAGACTGTCAATCATTCCACTGTCGCTTAGTGAAGAGTTTCTAAAGTTGATTGGTTGAACGTAGGCAGCTGGGATGTAGCCCATCTCTGTGTTGTTGTGGGCGTACCACCACTCTCCCCCTGATGTGTCCAAAACATACAGGTGGTCACCTTTGGAAAACTTAAGGGTGGTGAAGCTGCTGGGGCAATAATCCTTTATGGCAACAACTTCCTGTGCCGTTCCATAGGAGAAGGAAGTGTCCAACCTTAAGGCACTAGGAGAAGGCACTGGAAAAAAACACACCAAATTAACAATTCTCTTCATTTTATCTCCTTATAACTATAACAAGTTTATCTGAATAAAATCAGCAGTTTCTTATGACAATCATCAGTTCAAACGTTAAATCATTGCACTGACCTTTGACATCATTGAGGGTGGCTCCAGTGCCAACCTCACCGAGCTCGATGAGAGTCCCCTCGGACTTACAACGAGGCAGGATGTGGTTGTTGTTGGTTACTTTAACGATTCGATGTGCAGCCATGGCTGGTGCTGGTCGCTCGCTCACTTGAAGTTTTTCATCTAGGAGAACGATAAATACTTAGAGCTTCGTCATGGTAAAGCAGCTAATTTTCAAACTCATCTGCTTTCATGTGTTCAGTTGATGCTACACGTTGTGGAAAACTGAATTTTTAGGTCAGTAAGCAGCTGGACAACTGTACAGGTCCAGAGTCCAGCAACATGCAGATGGCATATAATGTAGTCAAAAATGTCCCTGCTGTTTTCTTGAGGCAGCTGGGTTTGAAGGGTGCGTTAGGAAATAAAGCTCAGATCTTAGCTTTTTTTTAAATCAATGCAGAGAGCTCAAAGGAGGAGGGAAACTCTTCAGGGTGAAAGAAATTGAAATGGAAAACTCTGATCTGAAAGTGATGCAAGACGGTGTTAACTATGAAGGTCAGGGAGATGCATGGGGAGATGAATAAATCTGGCACTTTTTAAAATAATCTTAACAAATTTTGCATAAATAAAATGTTAAAAGCTAAAAAAAAAAACGCTGTCGCCCTCAGTGACGGGAATCACGCTCCTTGTCCTAAAGGATGTGACAACAGAAGGGACATTTCCATTTGCACACTAACAAGGCCATTTTAATCTGATTAAAAGTCTGCCTGAAGGAGCTGTCGTGTAATTACCTTTTACCAATCACTAATATTTAGGCTGAAATCCCGATCAGACCTCTGTGATGTGTCTGTTTAACCCTGGAAGACACTTTATCACCAAACCACAACATAACGATCTGTAACCCACACACCGTACATGATCTACTAAGAGATATTCAGTGGCTGGACTCCTCCTTCAGTATCCTTCTGTTATATTCAGTTAACAGGTTCCTGTCTGAGTTCAAAAAGTTTTACCAACACAGCAAAAGTTTTTTTTTTTTTTTTCACAGTAAATCTCCTCTGAAATGACATTTTGTTTCAACCCTCCCTGTTTTCTGATGTTTCACAGTAAAGCCTCCCCCCTCCCCCCTCCTCTTTGTCTCCTTCCTCCTTCTTGGAAAGTGGGCACTTAGCAAACAGCAACAGTGGGTCTGCAATCAATACCACGGCAGCAGACAAAGACGCAGCCTGCTCCCAGTTTGATTATCGTACAGATTTGATCCTCATTAAATGCAGCAGGAGGTGGAGACAGCTCTGACATGAGCAGGAGGGAAAGAAGGTAGAACAAGAGAGTGGAAGATGGTGCTGCCTGCAGCAGAGAGAAGTCTGGCTGCTCCTAAACGACTTCTGCAGAAGAACACCTTCTTGAAGTTGTGTGGAAAGGACACCACATAAGCACTTTATAAAAACTCCAATTAAAAAACTAGGGCTGCAGGAAGCACTGACAGCATTTCCCCACGCATGTCAGATATTAGTTGACGTGACTCGACCCAGTTCCGGGCTGTCTACCCTGAAATAAAGGTCCCCTGATACACAACACTACGGATGTGTGCGCTTGTCTCTAGCGAACCTGTTTTTCATTAAAATACAACTCTAAAATTATCTTAGTTACAAGAAGGAGCCCTGGAAGGCTAGTCTAGACCAGGTGCCTTACACCTTTGGCTGAAATAAAACCAGAAAACACAAAACATTCTTCATGCTTTACTGACAACTCCAAGCAGAAATGAACAGATTTCTGTGGCCTTTTTTCTTATATATACAACCTTTTTCTGGCAGAAACTATAACTGTGCCACTATTATAGTTTTCTATTGTGTATTTTTCCCACACTCGTACAACATTTGGTATAGCCTTTAACTTTAATTGACTTTTAATTTAACTATGAGCCTGAGAAAATCGAATCAAAGGGTGGGGAGAGTCCAAAAAGAGATTTTAGTTTGATGAGTAACAATCTGCTGAGGAGCTCGTGGGTTTTCCATTCACAGCATTTAAACCACGGATGCGTCTTTAGCCCAGAGGTGCATTTACATCAGAGAGTCAGTAAAATTATTAGCTTAATTCAGTCAGCGCTGACAGGGTGGAGAGGAGGGATAACATAGGGGAGCTGAAAGTTTAATTATCAGAGAGTGGGCTTGTTCTAATCCCTGGATAAATGACTCCATAATAACTATAATAACCAAGCAGCAGCCACAGGAGCACGGAGAGTTCATCGGTTCCTTTTCTTGTTTTTGTCTCATAAGGTTTTAAAGGGTAAAGAAGGGGACGAGTTGATGGAGCCCAGTCGAAAACGTATGGTGCATTATCCTTCCTCCAGAGAATCAGTGGACTAATTTAATAATTCCTATTACAAAACTTTGATGATTTGTTTCCGTAGCTCTAAAATCAGGTATTTAAATGGGAGTAACTGTGGAGACGAGAATAAAGGTGACACAGGTTTGTTTTATCCCCTATCCTTTAAATATAAAGATATACTGACAGAACATCATAAAAACTCCTTGAGGAACCTTTGAGGACTTTTATGACTCTGTCCCTTTTTATGGTCTTTATCTGAAGAAAAAACTTCAGCAAACTGCCAATGTACTGTCAAATAATAAAGTTTATACTGGCACAACTGCTAAGCCTCAGCTACAGATGTGAGATAAAACATTCTGAACCGATATTGTGGCTTTTTTTTCTAAAGTGGAAATGTCTCCAGCTTTATTAAAATCAAAAACGATTTACATTTGAATGCAGAGCACTTAGAGGCCACAGTAGTGTAGGCAGTTCTGAAGGTACAGACTTTTACCTAGCTGTACTGTATCTCATAACGTAATATGTAGACTGTTATTATTAATATTTTATTCACTTTCACTTTAGAAACTGAAATAAATGATGTGAACACTGCAAGCTGCCCTAATGGAGAATAAGCTTTTAGTTTGTCCTCAATCCACTCCATTACAACAGATTAACAACACATTTTGAAGAAGAAACATTTGCCCTGTCAAAAAACTAAAAACGTTTAAAAAAAAAAAAAAAGCCAAAATGCGAGTGTCAAATTACTGCATTTAGTGTTGTACCAGAAACAACTTGCTGCCCTGAAGCTGACCCATTGTCCAACTCTAGAATGCCTTTCCCGCCGTCTGAGCACTAACATCATTCCTTGAACTGTCAGCAGCTGACAATTTCCTCTCAGAACAGAGCTGGAGGAGGAGGAGGCTCTAAACCCCGGCACTTATCTGCCTCATTTACCCGTAAATTTATCCTGAGGAAGGAGAAGGTTGGATTGGAGGAGAGAGTCTGATTGTTTTGGAGGAATTTCCTCCAGTCATGACCTCGAGGCACACTTGACCAAATGCCAAGTGGTCAATTTTATCTCCATTTAATTTGTCTGCTGATCAGTCATCAGCAGGTCTGCAAGGAATAGGAAAATGTCAAACATCCCAAAAATAAAAAACCTGCAGCAGTGTAATAAAATGTGTTTTCTATAACACTGGGTGGGTCCAGGTCCTGGCCTGAGGCAAAAAAAAGGGTAATATATCTCATATATTACACATTTCATGTCATTTTGGCACACTTATATCTACATTTTAGTTATGTATATGAGGTTATCTGTTGTGACTAAGGTTTGAGTGGCGCTTTGGCCCAGAGACAATGTCTCTGTCATTGGTGTGGAACCCCAGGGTTCACCTCCTGGGCAAGTTCAAATCCCAGCTAGGGCGGTTGGTACCTTCCAGTGGACTCACCAGGAAGGTTCAGGGGGGCTGGTACGGTGCAGTGTGATTTGGGTGGTGGGCATGGAGACTGCTGCCCCCACGACCTGGTAACGGATAAGCGGTTGAAAATGGATGGATGGAATAATATGAATATGATGGTAATAGGTCTTGCATCAAAGTTGGTAATTTATTTTTGATTTCCAACCATTGACATCAACGGTCACTTCTGTTTTGATCACTTAATTCTTTAGTGGCCTAGTTATTGATTTGCCTTTTTTTTCTTTGCTGGATGAATAAGTTGAAATCTGACCAGGAGCCTTCTGCATGACAAGGAGGAATACAAGCACCTGCCATTCTAAAAACAAATGTACCTTTCAGTCATAGTATATTTGCTGTGGGTGCATTCACAGCTGTTCCCTGTATGTATCCCATCTTTTTTGCCTGTGACATTTTATTAAACAGAGCATTATGGGAACAGCTGTGTGTATGAGTTTCCACCTCTGACTGAGGCTGATCACATGCTGTTTATTCAGCTTTACAATCAAAGTGGGAGCTCAGGGTAACGGCCATAATCAGTACGATATTGCTGATGACTTTGGTTTCCTTTATAGTCTATTAAAGGTTTATGGAGTTTCTCAAACTTTTATATGGCCATTTACTGTTCAATATGTCAAAACTTGGTGATTAATGCTAAAATAAATTGTTCTTCTCTCTGTTTACTACAGTTTCTGAGACACTTAGTGACTTTGAAAAACCAGAAAGTTCCAAAAATATGTCTTGAAAAATGTGTGAAAACAAAAAAGTCTCATGCAACTGTTGACGGTTGTCTCGCTTTGTCAACCTAAAAACCTTTGGTTGGTGTCAATGTCAACCAGTTACAGGCGGATCTCGGTTTACGACGTTACGTAGCCACACCTCCTCCATATAAATGAATGAAGAGAATCTTGTTCCATCATTCATGGTGATACGCCACATATTTTTTACCTCTCATTACGGCTCACAAGCATTTTTGTAGTCAGTGCTGTCAGTGTTAAATTTCAAGGTTTTGTCAGACCAAAGAGTCGAGGGCAATAAAGACTCCAACAGCACACTTTCTGTGTGGTCTTCATTGCTGTTTGCTACACAGGTTTTCCTACATGTGCGATATGTATGAAAATCAGAGTTACGTCGTTGCTAGGGACAGAACCCCGGCGTAGGTTGAGGACCCCCTGTAATGAATTCATCACATGTGAACCTGCCCACGTCTGTATAAAAACACACGATACATTTTATTTGCATTAAGTCCAAAATAGAGACTACGACATGATGAGTATTTACATGATGATGTTCTAGGTTACAGAACTGCAGCCCGGTGGTTGAGTGCGTTTGTACAGCTGTGGTCTGTGTGGACGACTAGTCTATCACAGCTGCATGAAATCTCATGCATACAGATCAAAGTAAGGTGTCGTATTTGTCAGTTTGTGCAGTAGTGCAATTCTCAAATGCATGCTGCGTGTGTCTGTGTGTGTGTCGTGCTGAGTGGCCGTTCAAAACTAGAGAGCACCTTCACGTCGAGCTTGAAAACGATGACATGCTAATTTTCAGGGCTCAGCCCAGGGGTGGTAATGAACTGGTATGTATGGGTTTGTGTGTATATGTGTTTTTGTGTGTGTATGTGTGGCTGCTCAGTGTCACTTTCATGTCAGGGGAGTGGGAGATTAGGAGTTAAAATGTAAAAAAAAAAAAAAGAGCGATAAGGGAACAGAGTGGAATGGAAGGAAGAGTTGCTTCAAATGTTTGAAAGATTAGCATGAGAGCCACGAGGTAAGAAAAAGGAAATTAGTAGAAGACCTGCAAAATGACAAGCCATAGTGAAGGAGCATAAAAAAACAGAAGAAAGGAAGAAGGACAACACCGGCAACATTATTCAACCGCTCATTTAGACAAACACAATCATAACATGTTACTAATACCTGGAGGACACAGCAGGCCATCAGTCCACAGTTTGAACGCATACACAGGTCTTGAAGCGTGATTGCTGAGAATGTCATCAACTGTCGCAGTCATTGATTAGTCAAGTGTTTGTTACAGTTCCTTGAGTGACAGCAGTTTTTGTCAGTAGTTCTCCTATGTTGTTGAAACCATGTTGAGACCCATTTATTTATTCTTCTATTAAGAATCAGCTGTTTATCGTTACATAGTCAGACTGAAGTGTATTCTGAAATGCCACTGTGTTAAACCCTGTTAATGCTGGGCTTCAGTTGGTTTTTATGGGACAGCACAGAGTCGGCTCTAGCCATTTGGGTGCTCTAGGCCAAAATATGGTCAGCCGTCCTCTGTAATCCCCCATTTTAAGGCCACCATCTCCTGGAGGACGTAGACCACGACGACCGCCTGTGTGGCATATACAAAGAGTTTGCTCTGAGGCAGTACTTGGATATTTTATTTGCCACCGCAAGAGCTAGACTGTTATTGGATAAATCAAGAAATGTCACTTTCAATGACAAGTAGAGCTCTCTGCCTAATGATTGGACAATCTCTTTAAAAGTTGACAGCATGTTTGACAAATGTATGCGTAGGTAACTTCTCTGTGTTGTTTTTGTTACATCTAGAAATTAACTGTGGACTATTGTGTGGTGTTTGCTTGTCAATATGGGACAACTCTTATTTTTAAATTGACTATAAATATAAATTATAGTCCGTTTTCGTCTGGTATGGTGATCATGTGTCCTTGTTATAAGTTTTCTTCATTTAAATAATTGTTTACTTTTATTGCGGAGAGCAGAATGTGTATTTCATTAACCTGGTCAACAAAAAGCTTCCCCACAGGCCAACCATCCACCACTGACAAATACAGTAAACTACAAGGCCATGGACCAAGTGCAATACCTCCATTGACCACCAGGGGTCCGTGGACCCACACTGAAAAACCAAGTTACAGTATTCAATTTATAAAGGACTTTAAGTTGTACCACTGCCTTTATATCATAGACCAAGGCACCACTATTCTATTTACAGCACCCCCTTGAGGTAGCGCAGGAGACAACGACATTGTCTGTATTTACAAACATTAACCACAAAGTGTCATCATACGCTACCTTTAATAAAAAGACCCAGAGACAGGGAAACAGGATTATCAGATTATCAGGTGACCTTATTGGCTCACGGACACGCAAAAACCAGTGTGCATTTCTTCTTAGGCCCACGTGACAGTGTCAACTTATCATCTCCAGTCATTTCACCTCCATCTGCTGCTGCAGAGCTGCGCGTTCTTCATAATTAATTAATTATTCAGAAAACATGAAGGTATAAAGACAGAGCTCACCTATCGCGCATCAATACTGGGGAGATGCTATAAAATATTCAGATTTAAATCAAAAGTAAACATTTTTTAATGACCAAGTCTTGAATTATACAGTACGTTCAACTAGGGGCGTAAAATACACTGAGGAATGATAACAGAACACTCCAGACCAATAGCTACTAGAAACATTGTTAAATAGTAGTATCACGGTGATGTGAGTAAAGCCGAATTTCCCTCCTGATATCGCTCTTTGAAATGAATAAAATGTCTTCTGGGATAATTGGTTTAAAAACGTAATTAAACGTTGTGAATTTAAAATTACCTTAATTGAGACTGACCTCTCGTTGGGTGGAAGCCAGAACCCTCAGAATAATGGGGTGAAGATGCGTCCAATCGTCACTTCTTCATGCTCTTCTCGCTTTTTCCTTGAGTCATTTGCCCCTTACACAATATAACACTTCAAAATTATATTTGAAGTGAGCGGAAACAAAAGAAGAGGAAACAAGTTTTTACGGTGAGAAGAGAAAGGAGGAGTAAATGAAGATGATCCTTCTCTAAGGACTCGCTGCCTTCTGAGCGGAGGACTCAGGGAGAGACCGAGGTGGATTAGAGTCTGTGACGTCACAGAGGGCGGGATTGTATAAACGCACCGCCCATTTATAATAAAAACGAAATCACCGGACTATTAAAGAATCGATTAATCATTAACCTTGACAATATCATATAATCGAATGTCTATACGAGAGAATTGACGAGTTCGTCTTAGTTTGTTGGTCTTTGTTTTTTAAATGTTTTGTTTATATCAAAACATAATTTTAATCTCACTAGAGAAGAAGTATTTTGTCAAAGTCTACTTGCACTATTGGAAACATTTTTTGGATTATTAAATCAGGGTTTGAAGTTGTTCTTACAATAATTACCCATAATTCCTGCTATTGTTGATTGAACATGACCATTAGTTGACATGGGAGCAGGGGACAATGGCCCAGCACATGGTTTTCTGCTCCAAAAATACAAAATAAAATGACAAATACACAAAGATAAACCTGACTGTGAAAAGTACTCTTAGCTCTCTTTCAGCTGCTACTGTAAGTTGTCTTTGTTATTCGTATTTTTGACCTCTTCCTGTATCATATTTTGGCTCACTATTTTTTGATTGGCATGTAAGGATATACGACACTTTTTTTCTTGCCTGTATTTGTCTGTGGAGATTTAGTTTTTACTTTACTTCATTAAAAAAATCCACATTATTTTAATATAAAGACTCCTGCAGTACATCATGTGCAGCATTGGGGAGTGGCTGCTGAATCACCAGTTTGTGTTTGTGAATCTGGTTAATTCTGGTTTTTGTTTATACGTTGCACAATGTAGAAGAGAAAAAACAACACGTTTTGTTTTTTTGTTTTTGTTTAATTTTTTAACCCGTGGAAACCAAGTATTGTGTAAGTCGATCCAAGTATTGTTCTCCTCCCTCACCTTGTTGCTCCTCTTTCTCCTGGTCTCCTCCTGCTGAGTACTGTTTCAACACTACTCCCTCTAGAACTCATTCAAAACAGGAAACAATAAGGACACAGCAGGTTAGGTACAGTATGAAAGAGAACGCTACACAAACAATAGCACCTAAAACTACAATGTCATCATTTTTACCACATACAGTATACAGTTGCTATAAATAGTCTTTGTGTTAATGACATTACAGAACTTTAGCTCTTTAAATATGTTTCACAAAGTCACGTGAGCCTGCATTTGTCGAGTCGCCGTGGATTCAGATGTTGTGTGAATGGCTCTGAGTTCATTCAGAATTTCATTATTTAACAGCAGTCAGCTGGGATCCCCGCGGTCAGTGTAATAAAGAGTGGAATAACAGGAAGAGCTGCTAGCTCTTTCAAGAAAAGGACAAGAAATGAATGCACGGATACAAAACTCAAATCTTATTGGTCATTGTGTCTCAGGCAAAACCACATGAACGTACAGTTCACACCTATTTTCTAGTTCCACAGCAGAGAGCAACTGCTGTTCCTTGGAACGGTTTTGACCTTTGTTTCTTTTCACTGCATCAGTTTGACAGAGTGACTCAAGTGTTTCTTGCCCCGTCCGCCTTTAAAGTATGCACCGTCAGCTGTTGACCTTTAAAGAAAAAACCCATCCTGCTAAATATGAAACTAGCCAAAATACCAGCACTACACTCTCGACCCGGGTCATGGTCGTACTTTCTGCACTTATCAGAGGCTGAAGCTGTTTCTCCTCCATCTCGTAACTTCTCATTACATTTTCCAGCTCACGCGAGTTAAAACGATTTAGGTTTAGAGTTCCTTGTTTTCATCCTCACAATAATGAATGAGAATTTTGGTGTCTTGAAGTGTAGACCTTTCAAAGATCTAAACTGGGGAACCCTACATTCTAAAACATTTTTCAGCTTCTACAGCTGAGAGTTGGACTACCAACCCTCTCACCTTTGACCTATTGCACATTTAAAACTGCACTTGACAGAACAATGTGTCTGTTTTTGTGAGGTCTGTCTGTTTCCCTTCAGTTTTTCTGTGTGGAGGTAATCACCTGTGTCTCTGTCATCAGTCTCACTGGTGTCACCTGGTGGCCTGGGTATATATACCTGTGTCCCTCAGGGGGTCATTGTTGGGTCATTGTGGTGTTTGGTGTAGTTGGTCATGGTGTGTCATGTGATGTTGTGGTCCATGTGCCACTGCTCTGTTCCTGCTTGGAGGTTATAGTTCAGAGTCTAGAGTTTGATGCTGCTGAGCTCCTGTTGTTCCTGCCTGGTCCTGTATCCAGTCAGGTTTTGTTTTTAGGATTTTGAATAAACTGCTGCACCTGATCCATGTCTCTCTAGTTGCAATTGGGTCGAGCCTTATTCCCAACATTCCATATGTTCAGGTCATATGGGCATTATTAAACATGTTGCCTTTATATGTAAAGTTGTGGCTTTTTTCCATCAACCTGGTTGGGATGTAGAAGAACGGTCCATGGCAGAAAAGGTTTCGGAAACTGCTGGGGTAAATCATAAGTGGAGGTCTTTTTCTGTTGTGTATGTTGTTGGCTTTTTTTCTAAGTAATGATCCACATCCACATTTGATCATAAGTAGTGATCAAATGTGGATGTTTATTGGTTATGTCCAGTGTTAATTCTGCATTAGATGAAGACGCTAGTGGTATTGCTAATAAAAAATGAATAGACCTTAATTTGCTCTACTAATGTAGACACAGACTAGACAACCAAGCACCAAGACCCCACATGAATCAAAATCCCAAATGAACCCATGCTGAGATGTAGCTGTATAAAAGTGGCATGAACATGTCTGACACCAGAAAAACATTTTCACACCCAAAATCTGAAAATACAGCAGTTCCAGCATGTCTCTCCTTGGAGTTTTCAGTCTCGTTTCCAACACAACACTTTCAGATGACTTGAAGCTAGATCCTGAGAGGAATCGATAACAAAACCGGAGCACACGGGAAAATCAACTTTGATCAGCTCCACTGAGGAGAACAGATTTTTACCTCCACAGAAAAGATACCAAATAGTGCTGGAGAGCCACACGCTTTAAGCCTTCATGCCTGAGGGAGCTTTAAAAAAAATGCTGCAGTCACACTTTGCAACAAGGCAGCTAATGAGACAAAGAGGCAACAGCTGGAGTGGAGAGAAGAAGCTGCTTGTTCTCCAGCTGAGATTAATAAGCTCTGTCCTAATTAAATTTATAAAAGTGCAGCACTGTTTCTAATCTGCATTAACATGTAATTAAACGGGTCCCAGTTCTGTAGCCTCTGTTGTATGAAGCTGAAATTCACACCACTTAAACTTTTCAACCATGAAAGTGAACCTCCTCTCGCCTGGCCTGTGGGTGGCGCTCAGGTTTTTATTTCGGTGAATTGGGTTTTTCCACTGGATATAAGCAACTGAAGGAATTGTTTGGGTCTGTTTAAGGTGAGTGACCACTGCCAGAAACAGCTTTGTTTTCCTGTGAAGCTCTTCAGTTTAACCAGGATGTACAAAATGCTAATTTACGGTTCATTTTGAAAAACTAACCACACATTTCAGAGCCCAAATCCTTGGCTCTAATTATTAAAATATCAGTCAGTTTATTAGCCACAGTATGCTGGGCTAAGCTAATCCTGCTAACACGTCTGTGTCACCTCTTCTGGTCTTTAGTGAAACCTACTGATTGATGTTTCACTAATACGTTTTCACGTCTAAAGAGCGTCCTGTTATAGAAGGCACACACAGAGAGGTTGAAGCACAGCTCAGTGACTGGGAGGTTTTGTAAGAGGATGGTACCACTGTATGTCTTCAAGGTCTAACCCTGAAGTGAGTAACACACTGGACCTCCTGAAGGATTTCCTGGAAACCCCAGTCACAACTTCACCTTTATGTCCACGCTCTGAGAGTGTGATCAACGCTGCGGCGGCTTCACACCAGTGAAAGCTGTGTGATTTGTCCCTGCACCACGCTTGTATTTTTCTATTTAGCAGTGTCAGAGTGAGCGGCAGAGAGGATATATTCCTGCAGGGCAGTCGGGTGTGTTTGTGATCAGTGAGGGGCTCAGAGGTGCCAAAGTCACCCTGGGATTTTACAGGAAAACAATGATTTTTAGGGGAACGTTCATTTCGACGCCTCACATCGGGAATAGAACAGAGACCGCACAATTAACAAGAATAAACTGATTTAAAATGTACATATTTAAACTGCCTCTACACCATCAGATATTTCAGGTAGTCTCTCCAATTTAAAGAGCCATAATTGACATTTCTTATAACTTGACTGTGAATCTGGAAGTTTAAAGACATTAAATGACACTAGATGTTTTTTTTGAAAATGGAAGTCCCATCTTGCAATTGGCGTCAAAGTGTAGCATTAAAAATTCAGTAGTGCCTTTGTTGCTACTAGCCTGAAATCTGTCGCTTATTTCCCCTCTAGCTTGGTTAATTACATACCAACAATAAACACAAGTGGATCACTGGATTCACTGGATTCTCTTTTTTCCCAGAACAACATGTGGAATGTGTAAAGGTACAATCCTGTTTAGAGGAAAACAGATTACAAATCACAAAGGAAAATAAAATACGTGGAAAGATCATCATTTTTGGCATTATTTCTTCCCTTTGAAGAATCCTTAAAGCCAATGGTTCGAAAAAATTGCGAGGGTTCACTGATATGACGAACACCAACTCTCCTCTTTTTATCCTATTATATACATCAAAAAACATTTTTTCTCTGCAAATCTATAGAGAACCTGTACAGACTGGGCCTTGTTGCATTTTATATATTGCACTGGTCCTGCAAGTCTTGGTACTTTCTCATTATTATTAGAACAAAATTAACATAGCAACAGTATAATAATGTGTATTTCTCACTTTCAGATAAAATTTGTACACTTTTCAGAGGAATGTGATAATCTTACATTCCGAATCCAGCTCTTAATTTTCTGATATTTATCAAGTTTTCTGTTTGGATTCCAGGCGGTCACAGAAAAGATAAGCCACAATAAGTTTGCATAGAGAGGTCAGTGTTTTCTGTTGGAGCAACCGTTGCTGCCCTGCGGTTCTCAGCTCTTATTAGAGGTACGGCCAGTGTTGGAGGCATTCAGTTGTGGTGAATGGGAGCTGCGGGATGTGAAAAGGAGCTTTTCTATTCACTGTTTTTATCCAAAAAAAGAGAGACTCTCTATCAGCACAGCTCACTTTGCATGAGAATGAGATCGTGTTTGATTCTCACACAGGTTGGTTGTGGGAAGAGGTGCCGGGGATTCGATTCATTGCAGATGCAGTGAATATTTAAATACATGAATCTTTAACTGGAAGAAAATGTACTGTTGCAAAAAGGATTCCGTTTTTTCAGTCAACAAAAGCGTGCACTTTCGAGAATAGGTAGATAAAAATAGGTTAAGCATTAAAAAAAACATTAAATCCATATGCAGACAATAGAGATGTCATTCAATTATGTCTGGACCTGCAGCCAAATGTAGCCAGAGATGATAATTATAATTTGGTTTCAGGACCATATGGGCTATGGCCTAAATTCCTTTAAGCTCTTTGACTAGTTCACAGCTACTTCCACAACA